GCTTAGAGCAAGCTTGTGCAACCCACAGCTGACGGGCCATACGCAGCCCAGGACGGCTTTGAATGTGGCCCAACACAAATTTGTAAACTTTCTTGAAACTTATAAGATTTTTTTTAAAAAGCTCATCAGCTGTTGTTAGTGTATTTTATGTGTGGCCCAAGGCAATCCTTCCAGTGTAGCCCAGAGAAGCCAAAAGATTGGACACCCCTGGATTAGACGGTTAAGACTTTCAGTCCCATCCCCTAACCTATGGGGATGTGAGAGGGTAAAGGTTAAGGGGATCACCAATAACTAATGATTGAGTGAATCATGCCTACTAATGAGGCCTCTATAAAAACCCAAAAGGATAGGCTTTGCAGAGCTCCTAGAAAGATGCACATGGTGCTTCCTGGAGGATGGTGTATCCAGAGAGGGCATGGAACTCTCTGCCGCTTCCCACATGCCTTGCCTCATGCATCACTTTATCTATGTCCTTTGTAATAGCCTTTATCATAAGCTGGTAAACATAAGTGGTTCCCTGTGTTCTGTGAGCTGATTTAACAGATTAATCAAACCCAACAAGTAGGTTGTGGGAACCCTGATTTGTAGCCAGTCAGAAACACAGGTGAAACAATCTTCAGATTTAGATGAGCATCTGAAGGGAAGGGGCAGTCTTAGGGACTGAGCCCCCAACCTGGGGGATCTAATGCTATCTCCAGTTAGATAGTGTTGCAGTTGAATTGAATTAGGGGACACCCAAGTGTGGTGTCTTTTACAGAAGTTGCTTGCCTAGTTTGTGGAGAAAACATTTGGCACAGAAGTCTTCTGTGTAGACTGAGTGAGAGAATAGGAAAAGCACTTTGGGTTAGTTTATTCCTGTATTCTCAGAACGTCATAATTACAACTGAGAGCTTTAATCTCCACAGACTTGCTGCACCAGATGTAATTGAGGTCAAACTTTTTTCATGTGCTTATTAGCCATTTATGATTCATTTTGAAAGGTTTTCCTGTTTACAAGTTTTATATTGGAGAGCTAGTGTTTTATTGACTTGTAGAACTATTTGGGTGCCATTAGGATGTGGTAGAGTAAACGTGAGTCCTTGAGATGTTGCAGAATCCCTGAACAAACAGTTTTTTCATTGTGACGTACATGAACTGCCTCACCAAGTATGTTTTTAGCAGTCTTTCTTCATGGATCCTTGAATAAACTATCTAATCTTCAGTTTTATTTTTAGGTTAGAGGCATCGTTTCCCTTTTATAAAGCAGAAGTGACATACTGGCATTTTTAACTCATGTTTTACTTGGTGTAACCAATGTTTTATTTAAAAATTGAGCTAAATTTTAAAAGTTGGGAGATTTCATATAATTTCCAGACTTTAAGTTTCTTTTAATGAATTGCAGAAATGCAACACTGAGCGTGCATTAGCATTGACAAGAAATAGTGCTGGTGCCCTCAGCACACAGGTGTTCGGCCACTGCGCTGTCTTCTGTGGTCTCATGCCTTGCCTGCCTTACTCATTTACATTACCTCCAGAAGTCTGTGGACATTAGGCTTATGGCCTCTGCATACATAGTGTATGACTTTATACTTTTGCTCATGTGTTCCGGTTGTGAGTTTCATTATGTCACATTTTGCAACCCTGAGTAGCATCCAGAGATGGATTTACTATGAAGCCAATGCAGGAAGCTTTCCCAAGTCTTCAAGAAACCTGCCATTTTTTGGTTCTTTTTTTTTCTTTAATTTTTAATTTAATTTAATTTAATTTTTTATTGCATTTTAGGTTTTGGGGTACATGCAAAGAACATGCAAGATTGTTGCATAGGTACACACATGGCAGTGTGATTTGCTGCCTTCCTCCCCTTCACCTATATCTGGCATTTCTCCCCATGCTATCTCTCCCCAACTCCCCACCCCCCGCTGTCCCTCCCTTATTTTCTTGAAGAGGCTCCTCCCCACCCCCTCCCTAGTTGTATAGATTTCAGGACCCACAAAACCAGATATGCCTCTGCCAGCATGAGGATCACCTATAGACCTTTCTAAAAATAATAAAGATTCTTAGGTTCTACCTAACTCAGGCCAGTGCAGTTAAAATCTGTGGACAAGGGTTGACCCAGGCATCTCTAAATTCTAAACAGCTCCTCTGGTGATCGTTATGATGCACATACAGCCTTGAGAACCATTGTGTTTTAAAAGGTAATTTACTTGAGCTGTTTATAAACCATTTTAACACTAAAAGGATACATTTTGGAATCATTTAATACATTTAAACTGTAGTTTGATATATTTTACTGACATGCAGAGCTGAACTGCTTAGGAACCACTGCCAATTGAATTTTAATAGTGAGAAGATATTTCTGAAATTGAAATATGTCAACAGGAAAATGCGATTTGATTGTAAAAAAAGTAGTTTGCATTTGTTTTTTCAAGAATTTCTGAAGAAGGTTTCTTATATCTGTGAAACTTTTATTCCATTCCATTTCTGTTATGATAGAATTTATGTAAATATTTGCTTTTGAAAATATCGTAAGTATAGGTAGAATCACGTAGAGATTCTGGAGTCACTATAATGTATGGTAGTGTCACAAGGGAAAATAATATTACAGCCTGACACAGGTACCTGTATCATATTGTTTGGAGAGGTTGAACGGTTGGGTGTATTTTTAATTATCATAGTAATTAAGGATGAGGGGCGGGTGGCTACTGACCTTTAATAGGTAGTGACCTGGGATGCTAGACAACTTTTAGTCCCTGGGATGGTGTCACACCAGGAAGAACTATCTACAGGCTGCATGACCTTGAATGTCCTGTTGGACTTTCATGTAGGGGAAAAATATGATTCTAATTATCTGTCCTTAGGATATGTAAATAAAATGTTTTTTGCATGGTTTTAAATATCAGTGAGTTTTCTAGCACTATAACCACCATGTGAACCAAGAGAAGATTACGCTTTGTTTTCTTTGCAAATTTACTAAAAATTGCCATTGCAAAGTATCATATCCAAGAAAGCAGTGCTCATGCTCTGGAGTCACCATTTCAGTACCCCTGTATCAGTCTACACTCGAATCTTGCTTTCAGCATGATTCTCCTTTCAGTACAAGCAAGTGTACTGACTAATTTGAGCATGTATGTAATGAAAATCATTTCAATTTTGTTTCCCCTTTGAGTTAATGGATTATTTTGAATTTTATATTTAGGCAGTTACATTGTTTATGGATTTCACTTTAGGATAATAGATAAGGAGGCATTGCAAAATGTTGTGAAAAGGTAGTTTTGCCCTTAAGGAGCTGAGAGTTGCTATTTTAAAGCAATGGTTTTTGAGCATCAGAGCACATTAGATTGTTCTGTAGAAATTCTGAAAATGATTGTTGTGAAGCTGCCCTAGACATACTAATATAGTAGTTTTCTAGGAAGTTATAGAAACTTCATGAATATTTTTTACTTCATTGCGCACTTAGAAAATTGCACTCTTTGCATTGCACAGGGAAGTGAAGGAAAACAGTGGCCTCGAGCTGCAGGTGATGGTTTCTGGGGATCCTGGCTGCCCTGGGCGTGCCCTGCCCCACCTTGCAAGCAGAGGATCTACTACCACCTTTGATGCTTTCCATGCTTGTTAAAAATGCAGATTCTTGAAACTCACTTCAGTAATTCTGATTCTGTTTAACTCAGAAATCTAGTATTGAATGAGCTCCTCAGATGATTCAGATTCAGGTAGCTCTTGGATGGTACCTTGAGTAATCCTGTTCTCACAGTTCAGGGGCAATAACTGTGTCGTATTAGAAAAAGAAAGAGAACAAGTAAAGGTTGGGCTCCTTTCTAAGGGTGTGTGAGGTAATGCTAAGAGATTTCTGAGATAAAACAGAGATATGAAACTCCTTCCTGGCTGGCATTTCTCTGACAAGGAGCACAGTCACCTTGTTTGAAAGGACAGAACAAACATGGCTAGAAGAAGCTGAAGCCCAGAAAGAGATCCCCTGGCTTCTTTTGTCTGAGTTTAAACTCTGTGGGATAATATCCTAAGAAGCTGAGCATGTTTGCAGGTACATTATATATCCACTTTAGATATTCTTTGAAAATTGTGAAGATAGGGACTAATGCTAAAAAAATACAAGAGGCAAAACCCTTATCTGTAGAAAGGAGATTTAAGAAAATTGTAGAGACTGGTGAGTTTCAGGGTAGTCTTTAGCCAAGTTTTAGAGGATTATTAGAAATAGGAATGCTTTTACATTGTTGGTGGGAGTGTAAATTTAGTTCAACCATTGTGGAAGACAGTGTGGTGATTCCTCAAGGACCTAGAAATAGAAATTCCATTTGACCCAGCAATCCCATTACTGGGAATATATCCAAAGGATTATAAATCGTTCTATTATAAAGACACATGCACATGTATGTTCATTTTGGCACTGTTTACAATAGCAAAGACCTGGAACCAACCCAAATGCCCATCAATGATATACTGGACAAGGAAAATGTGGCACATATACACCATGGAATACTATGCAGCTGTAAAAAACGATGAGGTCATGTTCTTTGTAGGGACATGGATGAATCTGGAAACCATCATTCTCAGCAAACTGACACAAGAACAGAAAATCAAACACCGCATGTTTTCACTCATAGGCGGGCCTTGAACAATGAGAACACATGGACACAAGGAGGGGAGCATCACACACTGGGGTCTATTGGGAGGGAATAGGGGAGGGACAGTGGTGGCTAGGGAGGTTGGGGAGGTATAACAGGGGGAGAAATGCCAGATATAGGTGACGGGGGGATGGAGTGAGCAAACCATATTGCCATGTATATACCTATGCAACAATCCTGCATGTTCTGCACACATACCCCAAAACCCAAAGTGCAATAAAATATAAATATAAATATAAATATGTATAAATATAAATATATATATGTGTGTGTGTGTATATATATATATATATATATATATATATATATATNTGTGTGTGTGTATATATATATATATATATATATATATATATATGTATATATTTTTTTAATTACTGCAAGAGCAGATAGTTTTCTTGGGTCTGAACTGGCACTTGGGAATGATGGCTGAATAGTGGGAACCAGGGAAGGGGGAGGGTGCAGGTCCAGTGCCCTCCCTCCAGGTAGAAGACCAAAAGGGTGGGGTCAGAGGCCTTGAGAGTGGTGTCAGTTTGACAGGTTAGTGGAATTGAAAGCTGTGTCGCATGGCTGGAAACCCACACATTATTCACATTTTCTAAATGGATGTCATTGGAACACAGTTGGGGAAATGCTGACGTACTGGAAACAGTCCTGGGCAAAGAACCAAGAGTCCTAGGTTTTCATTTATTAATATGTCAGTTACCAGATGCCAAAAACTTCCTTCAGCACATTCCTGAAAGTATTTACTTTTTCAACATGCATTCAGTGAATACCTGCACTTGCTGGGCTAGAGAGAGAGAGATGAAGCATGCATCCTGACTGTGAAGTTTGGTTGGAGAAATAAACAAGTAATAAGATGATTCTAACACAGATGCCTGCTACAGTAGAGGTAAGAACAGAGGCCTTGGGAGGCTATGAATTTGTGCCTCAGTCAGGATGGAGAGAAGGCTTCTTGGAAGAGGTGACATCTGAGCAGAGTTTTTGTAGATAATTTAGAATGGGTGCTGTGAAGAAAGATATTTTGACAGTGGCAGAAGCACATATAAAGTTGTGTTGCTGTGTAGACCATGGCTTGGTCAGAGCAGCTGGTGTCAAGAGGGAGCAGTGAACTAGAAGACTTCAGCAGGCAGGGACTAGATTATGAATGGTCTAAAGCATGCTTTAAGAGTGTATTTTATTAATTTTTTTTTTTAAAATGGATTGATTCTCCACATTTGGGGTTTAGGATATCAGTCAGAAAGCAATGTAGAGATTCTGGTTATGGAGAGGTGAGATTGGAGGTAGTAAACCTTGTTAGCAAGCACACATATATACATACACACACCCTCCTGCCCACACCCACACACCAGCGGCTTAGACAAAATAAAAGTTCTCCTCCATGAAAGAATTCAGTTAAATGATTCAGAGCTTGCATATTGCTTCCACAGTATCGCAGGTGCTGACTACTTTGGGCTAGTTGGTCTGCCATCCTTCCAGATTTTCTCATCTTCTGCTGTGGTTACTTGAACTCCACATTCCTGAGAGCAGGAATGCAGAGGGCAGGAATCACAAGGGCAAAGGGGTATGCACTAGCTGTAATATAAGGATATGGTACGTCCTTAATGTCCTTGATAAATTTTTGGAAACTGCAGCTTCAAACGAAACGTGTAGGATGTGTAACAAAACCAATTTTCTTATCAAGATAACAAAACAGTGTTATTTGAGGACTTACTATAGGTCAATTTGCTTAAAGTCTTGGTTTCCAAGAACTAATCTACAATGTTAAGTGAGGACTTGCTTTTATTTTGAAGTAGTTGCCATGGAAGACTTCTAGTTAGAGTTTGTTGCCCCTATGTCATGCCATGATCACATTTACCTGTAAGAGAAAGGTTGAAAGGCCATTTATTCAATGGCCGTGTGCCCTGCTAAAAATGGAGGGATTCTATCACTAAGGGAAGAAGAGGAATGGTTAGTGGGGTAAACCATCTGCATCTCTGCCTAAAAGTGGTACAGGAATGCAAGGGACACATAATGAAGACCTGAACTGAGGCACTGGAGATATGGAAGACGAGACATACTGCAGGGATTGCTGATACTGGTAACTGATTAGATATGGGAAGAAAGGAAGGTGAAGGGGTTGAGGGTGGTTTCTGCTTTGGGCAGGTGGATGGATGGGAGTGCCCTTCAACATGTAGTGGTTTGAGGGAGGAGCAGATTTTGGGATGAGGTGGAAGAATGCTGACATTTTGGCACATGTTGCATTGGAGATGCCCATGGCACATTCAGATGCAGATATTGAATAGGCTGGTGGGTATTCAGGTCTGGGCTAGGGGAAAGATATTTTATTTTATTTAAAAATAAATGTTAAAGGCTTCTCTCCCTCCTTTTCTGTTTTTTTTATTTCCTCCAGCTTTTTAAAGATATAATTGGCAAATAAAAATTTTATATATCTATGGTGTACAACATTATATCTTTACACATATTCATTGCGATATGATTAAATCAAACTAACATAGTCTTTGCCTTATGTATTTTTTTGTGATGAGAACATTTAAGATCTACTCCTTTAGCAATTTTCAAATGTATAATACATTATTAATTATGGGCACCATGCTGTCTGACAGATCCCTAGAATTTATTCATCTCATCTAACTGAAATGAGATGAATAACCAACATCTTTTCTTCCTCCTCCCCTGCTGCAGCCCCTGGTAACCATCATTGTACTCTTTGCTATTATGAGCTCCACATTTTAAGATTCTGCATATACATAAGATCATGCAGTATTTGTCATTCTGTACCTAACTTATTTCACTTAGTGCAATGTTCTCCAGGTTCATTTGTTTTGTCACAAATGATGGGACTTTCTGGTTTATTTTTAAGGTTGTATAGTATTCTGTTGTGTATATATATGCCACTTTTTTTTTCATCCATTCGTCAATCCATAGACACTGAGGTCAATTTCATATCTTAGCTCTTGTGAATAAAGCTGCAAAGAATTTGGGAATACACAGAAATGGGATTGCTGGATCATATGGTAGTTCTATTTTTACTTTTTAAAATGAACTTCCATACTTTTCCACCAACAGTGTACAGAGTCCCCCTTCTTCCTACATGCTTCCAGCATCTGGTACTTTATCTTTTTGATATTAGCCATTCTAACAGATTCAAGGTGATACCTTACTGTGGTTTTCATTTTCTTTTTCTGGATGATTACTGATGTTCAGTATTTTAAAATTTATCTGTTGGCCATTTGTATGTCTTCCTTTGAGACATGTCTGTTGCAGTCCTTTGCCCATTTTTAAGTTGGTTTACTTGTTTTCTTGCTATTGAGTTGTTTGACAAATAAAATGTATACAAATTTATATTTTAGAGATTAATTGCTTATAAGATACATAGTTTGCCAAATATTTACCCAATTCTGTTGACTGTCTTTTCACCCTGATAATTGTTTCTTTTGCTGTGTGTTAGCTTTTTACTTTGATGCAATCCCAATTTTCTGTTTTTCCTTTTGTTGCCTGTGTTTTTGGTGTTATATACAAAAAATCATTGCGTAGACCAATGTCAAGAAGCCTTTTTTCCTGTGTTTTATTCTAGTAATTTTATAATTTCAGGTCATACATTTAACTCTTTAATCCATTTGGAGTTGATTTTTGTATATATTGTGAAATAAGAGTTCAATTTCATTCTTCTGCATGTGGATATTCAGTTTTCCCAACACCATTCATTGATGTTCTTTCCCCATTGTGTGTTCTTGATACTTTTGTCAAAGATTAATTGACTGTAAATGTAAGGATTTATTTATGAGCTCTCTATTCTGTTCCATTGGTTTAGATTTTTTTTTTTCTAGTATCATGCTGTTTTGGTTACCATAGTTTCATAGTATATTTTACAGTTAAGTAATGTGGTGCCTCCAGCTTTTTTTGTCTTGTACCCAATTGCTTTGGTTATTTGGGTTCTTTTTTGGTTACATATGAATTTAAGAATTGTTTTTCTATCTCTGCAAAAAAATGCCATTGGAATATTTATAAGCATTACATTGAATCTGTGGATTGCTTTGGGTAATAGGGACATTTTAACATTTTTTAAAATCTTTGAACATGGGCTATCTTTCCATTTATTTTTGTCACTTCAACTTTTTTCACTAGTGTTTTATAGTTTTCAGTGTACATTTCATTCATTTTGGTCAGATTTATTCTGAAGTGTTCTACTTTTTATAGGTACTATAAATGAGATTTTTTAAAAATATCTTTTTTGGATAGTTTCTTTTTATTGTATAGAATTGGTACTGGTTTTTGTATGTTGATTTTGTATCCTGCAACCTTACTAATTTATTAGTTTAACAATTTTTTGGTGGAATCTTTAGGATTTCTATACATAAAATCATGTCAATTGCAAAA